ATAAAGCAGATTAATCTTCTTGACTTTTGAGGCTTTTGCAATAATGAGTCGCAACTCTGACTATGTTCATAATAAGGCTCAGCCCGTCTTAGGCCGAAACATTGGAGGATGCCTGGTGGATTGCATAAACCTAACCATCGTATTAAAGCTAAATGGCTGGAGTACAACGCCAAGTACGCGCCTTTTCGTAAGATTGATCCACAAATTTCTTCATCATGCAATTACATAAGAGATGAAATTCTTCCCAATAATATTAAATAATAATAGTAAAAGATAAATATATGATAATACAATCTAAAAACTTTAGAAATATTATCCCTGAATTTATTTATCTGAAAAATAGTTGATATACATAAGAGATTTATACTTCTTCGTAAAACTACTTGGTTTAGTAATATTTTTATTTTTGTATTTTATGTGGTTGAGCTGTGACAACATTCAGTTGGAATAATGGTTTAGTTTTTAACCAAATCTTCCTAGAAAGTTAACAAATTTTGTAGATCCATGAGGTGAGAAACCAAAGATCAATCAACAATGTACCTTCATGACACTATAAAGCCTAGTGAGGTACGTTAAAAACAGCAATCTGCAAGTGTGGAGCTAAAAAGGATGGTTCGCATACAGTGTGAGTTCATGAGGGATCAGGAAACCATATCATAATATTATATCGCCAAGATAAATATACTCGTGTGAAGATTACCTTAGTTAGAATAGGCAATGGTTCATGGCAGCCATCACCAAGAGTGTAGCGGAGACAATTGATGTAGTAAAGTACACGAAGCAAGGCTAAGGTAGTATAGACTCCACCCGCCAAACCTTTGCTGTTGGAGCCTGAGACATCGGAAGATGATGAAATGGAAGCCGGGCAACAGTCGCAAAGAGGATGGCTAAGTAGACCTAGTGGTAGGTGGCTGGTAAGGTAAGTAAACAGAGCCGGATTAGCTGGATCACTGATTGTATTGTGAGCAACCGAAGAGGAGTCAGATATAAATGCACTTTGGCTCGATGAAGCAACTGATTGAGAAGAGTCATAAAACTTGGTCTCAGGCACGCAGCTCCTATTAATCTGCGACTTAAAACCAACCGATTCAGCACAAGCATTTGGGAAAAGAGGTGGTTCTGAGGCCTGATAAGAAGCCAACTCATGGTGACGTTGTGGCACAAGAAGAGGCGAGCCAGGTGGAGAAAGATTACCAGAGGCTTGGCGACGCCGTTGGCCACTTCGTTGGCTGACGGCGGATGTAGTAGTTGTTGACAGATAAGTCGCTGAGGAAAGGAATCGTGATGATGTAACTGCTGCTCGGTCTAAATGTGAAGCTGATGAATCCAATGAACCTAGCTGGCTAGAGGGCACAGTGGCGGTAGAGGAAGTATTCAAAGCAGAGTAAACAGTTGCCATGTTTGATGGCAAACGAACGGCCGGAGTGTTATTGGCAGAGCCACAAGCAGAAGATATGCAGGAGGCTTCATGGCGGCGCCTTTTTAGACAGCTGCTGATGGAAACAGAAGATGCAGTAGGGCTTTGAGATGAAGTGGAAGTTATTGGCATGATGCCAGTAGTCTTACTCGGCCTGTTAGAGGCGGGTGCGGAAAGAGCGTTTGAGGATACAGGTGGGCAAGATATAGAGGCGGATGATGAGGGGGAAAGGGGCAGTCTTGGGTGTCCATGGCTGGAGAAGACGCCTCGAGTGAAGAGAGTATTGCTTATGGAATCCATGGATCCACCAAAGGCCGATTGGGGCACGAGACGATAATGAATAGGATGCACGAGACTCCAGACGAGATTATTAATCTGCGTAAAATAAGAAAAGTACAGAAGCTAAAAATTCAATAAAAACATTTCGGATACGGAATAAACTGGAAACAAGAAAGAAGCCTTAAACCCTAGGCAGATATGTGGAGTAATTAAGCAAGTATGTGCGTTGCGAAGATATATAAAATAATAAGTGAAAAATATTATATTTGAAAAAATATAAATAAGATGAAATTAAATATAAATTGCTTGTTATTCGTTCATAAGTATGGTTTTGAGACCACCAGTAAATCAATCATGAGATGTATTCACCCTATTTCGTTACGGTAGTGAAGGACTGCTTTTTGAATTTTCCCACAATTATACAGGTAGAGCTGACGTTTCCATTGAAGTTCACATAGAATTGCTTTCTCATGTGTTCTCATCCAGAGTGGATTGCAGTTTCGACCACGTCTAGGTATTATCAACACCCCCAGTGGGACACGAACCATGCAGAATGTTTATTTTAAGAAAGGCCAGGAATTTTTCCATATTACATTTTGTGTTGAGATTGTTGATGAAGCAATGCTATATTTGCTGTAACAATCGACCACACTACTTATTATGCATTTCAAATAACTGATTTAGTGGTAGTCTCGAAACCATACTTATGAATGAAAGATAAGTAATGTAATCAATTGTCGTAGCAAATATAATTTTCCTTTATCGACAATCCCGCCAAAGAATGTGATATTGGAAAATGTCAGGCATCCCTGCGCTGTGACCCAAAGGCACTCGTGGCAATGTGACGTAGTTGCTTAAGTAACGAGACTACATGCTGCAATCATGTTTTGAGTCCCGCTGAGGGTGTTGATAAGACCTAAGCGAGGATGAAACAGCAGTCCACTCTGGATGAGAACACCTTTTGGGAAAGTAAGGCTATGTGAAATTCATATCATTTTCGGAAAATTAAACTACCAGTCCTTCATTAACTTAAACGAAAAAGGGTGAATACATCTCATGCCAAAATAGTTTGTGCATAAATAATAAAAAAATTTTTAAATAAAATTATGCATTACACATGGATAAACTTGAAACCATTTGGCTGTCAACACTGAGTTAACTTCGTGTACTTTCCACATAAACAAATAGTTAGCAAAGCATCTAATCAAAGATCCTAAGTAACGATAGAGCTCCATCGGAAAAAATAGACACTCAAGCAAAATTCATTGCAGGTAAAATAGGCGAATAAGGCAAAACTATAATAAATCTTATTTAAATTAAAGTTATTACTCTCCAACTTATTTTAACTACATGTGAAATTAAAAAAACGTACTACTACTGAAGATGCAAGAACACTTTAAATTTGAGGTTGAGCCAGATAAACTATGCGAAGGTATCTCACCGATGAATCGGTGTTAGGGATAGGATTAAGTCCAAAAAAATGAGGGTATGAATGTCAAGATGTTAGGCCAGAAATGTGAAGGTGAACAGATTATTTGCATATATCTTGCTGACCCATAAATCCATCAGTGTAAGGTATATAGTATGAAGTTATGAAGACCAAGATGGTGTAGCCCCCGGTATGGTCGGAGTCTCCGTTCGATTAATAGAAGTCGGTTGACCTCGTCGCAACTTGGTCTTGTTGTCAGAGTGACTTGGTAAAACGCACCTTGTCCGAAGTCGTCTGTCATAGTAATTGCCATAATTCCCAGCATCAGACAGTGGATTTGGTACATTCTTAAACGTTTAGATGGCATCATAGTCAGAATCATCAGTGAGTTTTGTCATTCTCCGCACCAAGCTGCGAACTCGTCAAAGAGACATATGAAGTCAATCCCTCGACAAACGTTCTGCCGAAAACGGTTATACTATCACTCCTATTTCTTTCATGGCCTATCTGTCTACTCTTTACCCTCTTATCCAACTCCAGCCCTATCACAACTTCTCACTTGTTTGCATTCCACTCGTAAAAATGTGTGCCCTTTTGTGGCAAATCTAGTGTGGCCTCATCACACCTACTATTCAACGATACCCTATCCTTTGATCGGCTAATCCGACTGGGACCTCCTATTCTGATCTCCCTTATTGTCTCGTAGATCCGTTCCTTATCTTTCTGGTTTACCGATTTCAGTCGGTTCCAGTCGCAGTGTGCATTTGACTCCAGGCGCTATTTCTCAAGCCCCTAGAAACACGTAAATGGAGACTGCCGCTTCACTGAGCAGAGCGCCTAAGCTCTGATTCCCATGCTTGCAGATATAAGGCATTCCCTTCACGAGTCGTCTACTTGATTAAACCCATGTTATCTGAGTAACTGTGGT